AAACTATTCTAAAAAAATAGTCTTTAAATAATAATAATACCACCACCTTGCATGTGTAAAGTGCTATCTTTTCAAAACTCTTTTCCTTATATGCCAAGTTGCACTGGTGACAACCTTGTGAGACCTGCAGGGCAGCTATTATGGACCCTACTTTACAGGAAATCTGAAATCTGAATTGGAGGCCAGGAGGGCCAAGGTTGGGAGCCCCTTTGCCTGGCACATCCCCCACAGCCACGCCCAGCCCCTCCTCACCCATACTGTTCCAGGAGCCTGCGCCTCACCGCAGCCTTCTGCTCGGGGCTGAGGTCTGGGCAGTCTCTGAGGCCATGCAGGGCAGGGGGCCAAGCCCTGGGGTAGATGCCTCTGTCGATAATGGTTGCTGGCAAGTGACACAGCAGGTTCCCCACGATGTCCACAGTGTACTCGTCAGCAATGGAGTCATCCTGAAACCAACAAGTGGAGCCGATGGGCAGATCTAGCAGAACTTAAGATCATGATCACTTGAAAGCACTTCTCAACCTCATACGTCTTAACGGTTCTGGGATCTGAATTGCCTACTCTGCCATGGGCTACTACAGATGTAGCGGGGCCTGACCTTCCCCCAGGGATGCAGGTCTCAGGACTCTGGGAAACCCTGACTTGGCACATCCTGAGCCCTCAGTAAATGAGAACTGCTGTCATGCTCATTATTGTTCTGAGGATATCCCAGAGTGAAACCACCATTATAATATTAGTACAACAGCAATAAAACCAGCACTTCAAAGTTTGTGTGGCACTAGAAAGCCTTTAAAGCTCTTTCTCAAAATGCCAGAAATAGCTGACACGTATTGTGTGCTTCCTATGTGTGGGGCACTGTCCTGAGTGTCTACAGGTCTCAATCCATTCATCTTCAAAGTGACTATAAGAAGTAAGCACTATTAGCCACTTTTTAAATATAAAGAGACTATCAACTAGTGGCAAGGTTGGGACCATTTCATGCCCTCAATAACTCTATGAGGGTTGTGCTATTGCACCCACCTTGCAGATGAGGCGACTTAGGTTGAGGGTGGAGAAATGACTTGTCCAAAGCCACATAACTAGTCATTGGCAGAAGCATGTCTACAACCCAGTCTCTGTGTACTATGCTCTCTCCAGTCCTCCGGAGTGGCCTCCCTGCTTCAGGTCCTGGGATGGGAGTCTCCAGAACCAATAGCCAAGACTGTCCCAACCAGCAGCTTCAGAGCCAGCTTTGAGACCCACAAATTAGACTTCCTGCCATCATACCAGGCTTAAGATCCCAGCCAGATCCCCAGAATGTGTGTCTCCAGGATGGCCACAAACATCTGGAGGGGAAGGGATACTAGGAAGAGTTTCCTTACCAGGCACTGCTGCACTTTCCCGAGGACTGAAGTCTTTTTGTTGGAATCTAAAACCAAAGAGTCCAACCGACTCTTCCCCAGGCTGATCAGAAAGGGCACACACTGGGAGGCCGGGATGGAAGCCAGGTAGCGGGCCCTGGAGAGAGATAGGGAGAACGAGAGAAAGAAAACAGTGGCTGTTCTATATCTGCCCTGAAATCAGGGTCCACATGCCCAAGAGCTCATCACAAGGATGTTCTTTAAATGTTTTTCTCCCCAGTGATGCTGTGGCTCCCTGTGGCATGTAGCAAGCCTCCCACCCATAAGGCTCCTCTTCTATGAACAGGAAACAAGCTTCCCATCATGCTCCACTTCTATGAGCGGGAAACAAATTTCCCATCATTCTCTTCTATGGGCAGGAAACAAGCTTCCCATGATGCTCTTCTTCTATGCCCCAGCAACACTGATCGGGAAATGGCATTTCCATAAAAATGTTGACTCATGGACTGGTTGAGGGCAAATGAAGAAAAAGAAAATAAAAAGTAGAGAAGAAAGAGAAAAAGAGGAGAGAGAATAAAATAGAAAGTGAAGAAGAAAGATGAGAAAAAGAGAGTGGAAAGAGAATGACTCCCAATTCTGTCATCTCCAGCCCAGAACTCTGCCCCAAGCTCCTGATCATGTATTCTTAACAGGGATAATGTCACCCTCAAGAAGGAGAAACTGGTTCTGGGGGAAGGGGGTGCGAAGAAAATCTTAGTTATGACAATAACTTGTGACCCACCAAAGCTCAACCCTATTTAACAAAATCTTTTTCCTTAGTATACAATTTCTCTCATTAGAAATTACAATTTTTCTCCTTAGGGAGGCAATAATGAAATAAGGGTTGAGAAAAACTGCACGAGACCCATGCAGCCTACTCATCCTCACCACTTAACTATTCCAAACAAAGCCAGATTCAACATCTTCCCCAAACATGTTCTTCCTCTTCTATGCTATCTCAGAATCCTTTTTGCCTTTCAAAATCCATCATTGCTGTCTCCTTAATATTACTGAAATCTGCTCTAGCCTCTCTATTCCCAGTACCGTTGTCTTGTTTATTTCTTCATTCATTCATCCAGCAAATATCTACAGAGCATCTGCTGTATATCAGGCACAGTTCTAGGCACCAAATACAGTCATGAACAAGGGGTCCCTGCCCTTACAGTGCTTAATTCTAGTAAGGAGAAGAAACACACTTGAAGCTCTGACTCAGCTGGGGCAAGGGCAATATACGTAACCTAAACATTTGTACCCCCATAATATGCTGAAATAAAAAACAAAAAACAAAGAAACACAGAGACCAATGAATAAAATAGGTAATTTCAGCTAATAATGAATGTAAGGGGGAAGATAAAATGGCTCTGTAACAGAGCATGACGTGGCCCCTCTAAGCCAGCACGATTTGGGCTGAGACATGGCAGAGTGGAAGTAGCCAGCCATGCCAAGGTCTGGGTTACTGAAATAATCTTCCACTATCTCCCTCCTTCCATTCAGGCCCCCTGCATTCCATTCTCTACATGGGCAGTGGCAATGTTCTTTCTGAAACATACATCTCATGGCTGTACCCAGAATACAAGTGAAATATCTCAGGGAGTCACAAAAAGACCTATATGATCTGGTGTCCCCTCCTTCTCGGGCCTTCTCTCACACCTACTAAAGTTTTTTCTTTACCTTGACTATGAAGCTGGGAAAATGTAACCTTGGACCCGCCAGGATTACGAAGGAGAAAGAACTTGCCTGACAGTGAGACCAATAGTGGAAAGCTTGGACAAGAGACAGATGACATCATTTGAGCCCTTAGATCTGCACAGTCGCGCAGGAGCGCTTCCGGTCTGTGCCCCGCCCCCTTCACTGACAGGCGGCCCAAGCCCCAGCCCCGCCCAGCTTCGCGGTTGATTGGTCCAGGAGCCCAAACGGTCCGAGGCTTTTACGGCTGCTGCTGCGACTTGCCGGAAAGTGAGCCCCTAGATGCAGCCATGCCTGAAATGCCTCGCTGCGCTTCCCATTACCTGAACCAAAAATTCCCTTTTATTGCCTAAGCCAGTTTAAGTTCTGTTGCTTTCAACCAAATATTAACTTGATATTATAAATCGCTCGTCTATTTCCCCCTCCATGAGATTGTAAGTGCTCATAAGAGGAAAATTTAACTATATCTGAGAACTAGCACACAGAAAGTACTCAATAAACATTTTTTTTTGAATGAATGAAGACGGTAATAGCAAAAGAAAGTAGAGGGAAATAGAAAAGGAGAAAAACATGTCCAGACCATGCTTGACCATAGCAGGAGAAGAACTCAGGTCTGATTCCCTGGAGCCTGGCCCAGCCGCGGGGGCGAGGGCAGCCCAGACAGGAGCTGCTTCACTGACACTGATTCAGGCTTGGGTTGCTTTCACTTTGGTTTTTAAATAACAGGAAAAGCAAGAGGGTCTTTCTGAAATATCTACGTGAGGCTCAGAATTTAAATCCTGGTTCTCAAGGGCTTAACTGTCTAAAACACTCTCCACTCTGCCTCTGGTTCCTCAAGAAAACCCAGAGGGAGAGAATCACTTTCACGTGGGTGATTCACACCAATATTACTGCTGAGCCAGAAAGGGGGGCTGTTGTTCTCTTACGGGAGTGCAGCCAACAGGAAAGGTGGCATAGACGACCTGGAAACTTCCCAGTATTTCCACGCCAAACAATTAACCTGAAAGATGAAGCAGTTCTAGTGCTAGAAATTCAGTCCAACGATAATAAGAACAAACACAGATAGTGCTTTCTGCATGCCAGGCACTTTTCTAAGTGCTTTATATATGTTCACTTATGTAATAGAGCACCCTACAATGCAGGAACCACTAACTGTGCCCAGTTTATGGATGAGGAAACTGAGGCAAAACAATATGAACTCAAAATTTGAGTATGAGAATAGTCATCACTATTTTGTCTACAACTGCAAGAAAGTGAGATATAACTTTAATATCCCTCAATAGGGGATTGGTTAAGTACATTATGGTATATCCATACAATGGAATACTGCACAACTACTTTGTTTTAATAAGATAGATTCACATATATTAACATTAAATGATACCTATGCCATTTTATATATATTACAAGATAAGGCTAAAAGCTTGACAGAGGTGAAACTCAGTTGAAAGCTTATTCTTAACATCTTTGGAACACTGCAAGTTGAAAAATATAATACTTATTTACTAATAATAAAGCTATGTGTGATTCTTGTAGAAAGGGCAAGAAATTTTGCATTAAGAAATTACCTATGCCATTT